AATGCCCGGCTGCCACATGTAGCCAATGTTTTTTCAGCGAGGCAGATGCAGTACCATGGATCTGGCGCGCAAGAAAGGCCCGGAAACGTTTGTTTCAGGGGCAGAAACTAACGTTTTTGGGACACCTTTGTTTCATTGGCAGAAACTACGTTTTCCAGATTTTTTTTCGGCAGAAACCAAAGTATTCCGGAAACCTTTGTTTGTAGGCTCGAGCTAAAGGTTTCTGGAAACGTTGGTTTTCCAGGTTTTGCTCGCCTCTCCGTTCAGACTTAGTTAATTTCTACGGGGTGACTTTCTTCTAAGGGGGCGGAACCCGAAACGTTCCGGGGCACGGCAAAAACATGCGTCGGAAACTAAAGTTTCACACCAGGGTTTTAGTGAAATGTTTGCTCCTCCTGCTGCTTCTACTTCTGCTCCTCCTCCTGCTCGCGGGGAGTGCATTGGCCTTCACTTCTAGCCTGCTCTGCCAGTCATTATGGCCCAACCCATTTTTCGGGTTTCGCTTGTTGTTTTTTCTAAACAGTGGGGTTTTCAGCGTTTGCGTTGTGGTTTTTAGTGGTCTTTAGGATTTGGGGTTGTTTGGTTTTAGGGTTTAGGGTCTCCAGGGTTTGGTTTTTGGGTATGGCCACATGAAAACCTGCGGGCCTGCAGCTAGAGCTTCTAATGAACTTTATGTTCAGCACAGGGCTGCGACCACCAGTCAACATCAACAAGTTCCATGCCCATTAGATGCGGGAAGCCTGACCACGTCACCCCTTAGAGCATCCACGTTTGCAAAGAGCTGCTTCCCAAGAATCATCTACGTCAGGAATATGTGTCAAGCAAGGTGGAGTATCATATTAGGGCGGGCATGTGGAGGCACAGGTTCTGGCGTTTCAGGCTGTGTTGCATCAAATATGGGCCGCTGGAAAGACACATAGGCTGCTCGTAGCCCATCGACAACTGTTTAGGTACAAATGCTCTAAGCAAGTCCAGCACGGCCCGCTTGGCTTAAAGTCTCCAGGCATCACGGCATCCCTGTGCGCAGCACCTGCTCTGTATACGTCCCCCAGCGTCAAACAGATTCGTCCTGCGCCTACCTCCTTTGAATGTCTGGGGCGGTCAAGTGCACGTGTCATGCCAGAACCCCAACAAAGGCGCTCTAGTCAAATCCACTGCCTTCCGCATGACACTCCTAGTAAACACATTAATCATGCATGCAAGGCAATTTACTCAAAGCCCTGTCCCTGCATGAAAAGTCTGGCTCTCTTTCGTGCTCTGGCCTGAAGCGGCAGCTCGCTCACGAACACTTGCTTGTCCGTGTGCCTTTGCCAACACAGCAAGAAATTCTTTGCCCGGGCTCTTCAAAGATTCTAGATGTGTATCCAGAAAGGAATACGAAGAGCCACACAACTTGATAGATCCGAATTTTCCATCACTCGAGATAGTCAGCTCGGGTTGTGCGCTATAGTGGTCAGGTACAGGGCGCGTTATGTTGTTGAATCACTGCAACCGCTGTCTTAGCTGCTGCTTTGTTGGGACCTTAAACCAAGCTCAGTGCGCCGCAGACATGGCCAAGAGATGTTTGGCCCGTGGCTATCAAGCTTAGCTAAACTCAGGTGCAAGGTTCTTTCAGAGTTTGAACTAGTTTCATCTCAGCTCAGGATCCCAGAAAAGTCCTCATGGATTTATTTTTCGCATGTCGCGACCTTGCACGTGTCATGGATCCTTCTAGCCAGACTTGCGCAGACTGCGTGGTTTGCTAGCTGGATTGGGTCACTCTGGTCAAGAGCACGCATGCCGCAAGCAGCTCGACGTGATTTTCTTGCGAAGGGCTCCAAAGCTTTCTGGAGGTCGCACTTCTCCACCGGCCCATGGGGCATGACTTTGTGCTTAAGACAGAACGTCTTCAGCATCTTCATGCCTTGAGACATGTGGGCAGCTTGTGGGCAGCTGGAAGCTGGATGCTGCCGATTTGCGCTAAAAACCTGAGACCGGAGCTCATCGTCTTCAGGTCCTCGAGGACGAAGCTGTCTTGGGCCTTGGGCACGAGCAGGCAAGTAGGGAGCAAGGGCGTCAAGGGGCTTTTGCTTTCTACTGAGTGCGCTGAGTGCACTGAGTGCACTCTGCATGCCCCAGCCTCCACCGGCTTGGAAGCTGGGCTCGCGTTCACGCAAGCTGGGCCCAAAGGAGCGGCGACGCCTCCACTCCCAAAAGCGCTCCCAACAGCGCTCGCGCTCGCTGTGCCCACTGCGAAGGGCCGGAGAAGGGCTACGAGGTCTGTGCGCTCCACAGGTCCGTGAGGCATCTTGCCATACTGGATGCAATAGCTCTTCAACCGACTGATAGGCATGCTGTCCAGCTCTGCGACACTGAAGCTTGGCAAAGCCCTCTTCTTGTGATGGTGACTCACATGGGAGTGGCTCGCATTGCTCGTGGTCCCATTTCCAGTGAATGCCGGCTTGGAGGAGGGCTTTGCCAAGGGAGCTAAAGCCTTTTTCAAGTCTGACTTCTCCAAGGACCCTGAGGGCAGTCGACCAAACTGTATACAGAACATCTTCAGCTTGCTGATGGGCATGGTGTCCAGCTCGTCGGTGGTAAAGCTGGGAAGGTCGGGTCTCCCGTTCGAAAGGCGCTCTCCCACCGCTCGTGCAGCCGCGGCTGTACCAGCTGGGATGGCATTTTTGACGATGGCCAGGCGCTCAAGAGCCTTGAGGAGGTCCGTGCGCTCCACCATGCCTGGAGGAAGGACCTGCTCAGCAAAACCACCTTGAACCGATCTCAACATGCTACTGGACGGCCCTGGTAGGCACTGGCAAACCTTGTACTGCACGCAGAGGTTGCGAAGGGTCTTGGAGGGATAGCCTGGGCACAAAGTCTTAGCCAAGTAAGTCAGTGCCAAGAGCGCGTGCCAGCCTTGAAGATCTTCCTTGGTGAAGCTCGGTGGTGGAGGCGGCCGAGACGGCCGCTCGGCCCGTGTCTCCTTCCGTTCCCGCCGCGCGCGCTTCCTCCGGGACATCAACGCAACGAGCGCCCTTCCGATTCCAAGACCCTTGCCTGCTGCGGCTCCGGCTCGCATGCTTCTCTTGCTTCCGCTTCCGGCTGGCACTTGACGAGCTTCGAGAGCCTGGTAATTCCAGCATGCCTTCTTGCTTAGCGAGCGGCCCCTGTGCTCTTTCCATGGCTGTGACAGAAGAAGGAACCCAGGCCCCTGCTGCTGCTCCTGGCACGGCTGCTGCTGCTCCTGCACTGTGCCACACACAACAGAATGAGCTTCTGCCAAACTTTTGAAGAAGTCCTCTCGCTTGTCTCGTCGGAGCCAGACTCCTCCTCTGCTTCGTGCTTTTTGGCTTCTTCTTCTTTGGGCAGACTCGGAATCTCCTCAGCTGCTGTCGAACCACACCCAAGTCTTCAATCGGATAATGTCAGCACAGAGTCCGGTAGAGGTCCCGGGTCCATGCCTATGAGATTGGCCACCGCACGGGCAAAGTACGGACCTGCAGACTATAAAATCAAATTGTGAATTGAACGCACACATGTATGGGTGATCGCAAAGACTAGCAAGCCTTCCCACATTGCAAGCAAGAGCTTCTTTCGCAGCACCTCTGTCCGGCTCTTTGACTCAAGGAGCTGGTGAGCAAAGAGCCATCCAAAAATGCCTCGTCCTGCTTCAGCAGGGCCTCCACATCGCCGGTGCCCTCACTGCGAGCAGCATCGGGAGCATCAATTGCCAACAAAGCTGCACCTGGCGGCGCGCTGCCACAAAGAGGTCTGCCGTGACTTCGCGGAGTTTCTTCTTCCGCTTTACCTTTGCGAGGAGAGAAAGGGATAGGAGCGGAGGATCATCCCTGGCAAGGAAAGCCGGGCTGAGGCCGCCGGCGACCTCACGCTGGGCCGGCCAAGGCAGCCCAGCCACATCCTGAGGCAATGAACGCTCAGCAAATGAACCTGCTCGAGCTCCTAAGGAACCTCAGTGGACTTCTGCGCCAGAGACCGCAGAGCTGTAGGGGTCAGCTGCAAGAGTCGCAAAACCTCTCAACCAAGGAGCTGCAAAGGGCTGCCTGTGGCGCATGGCATCCGCCTGCTCCAAAATGAAGAATCCGCAGTCGTGCGCACTCTCCTTCCAACACAGGCACACCGGGATGAGAAAGTTGAAGCTCACGCTGTCTCTCCTGCTGTGGTGTGTCGGGCAGCTGGAGCGAGCCAGCAATCAAGCTATCCTTGTAAGGAGCATCTGGACTGGCCGTTTCCCACTCCTGTTGCAGGATTCAGATGAGAAATGCTGGAACAAGCTTTGAAAAACATGATGCTGTGCATACAGCCACAAAACGATATAGTACATGATTGTATAAGAAAATTTTAAACAGATTGATAAATATTTCGCATGGCCCCCACACAAGCATGATTCCATTAAGCTGCCGAGGTTCGTTTGGGGGGGCAATACTCCAGCTCCCCTCTTCTCTTCTCTCCTCTCCTCTC